GTTGCTACGCATAATTGGGGTTGTCATGGTGGAGTGCATTATTTGTCATTTAATGTACCTTGATTTAGGACTATTATAACTGAATAATAATCAAGTATGACCGTTGAGTGAGTATGACATAAATCATATTAAACAATACCATAGGAGACCGGAATCAAGTGTTCTGTGACCGGCACTCTTTACTGGCGAGACTAATACACTTCTTTTTATTTTGTTTTTCTTAATATATAGAATGGATCTTTACTTCATTAAATGTTATGCTATACCTTTTCCTCGTATTGCTGATCAATTCATAGTGATAATGTTTAAACGCAAAGAATTCTATGTGCGTTTGCTACCCCCAAAACCACATTTTCCTTTGATACAGATGGAATAGAACAAAAATAAAATTGCTTTTACAAACCCCACACATCTATCGTTCCTTTTGCCGTCCTTTTTTTCTTTTTTTAGCTGACGATGAGGATTCGTGTGTATCACTTTATATGTAAAATCCGAAACAGCAGAACAGCCTTTTGACTATGGGATTAGTAAAAATCCACCTTATTTTTCTTGTATGTCATTCAATTTCAGAAACAACCCTTTTCATTAATATCTCACTTTTGAAATGTAGACTGTTGCTATGTGAAACAACGAATTGTAAAGTAAGCCTATATTAAATAAATGTAGAACTTATGACCTCAATCAATTGTTCAGAAGCAAGGGTTAGAAAAGCACGATTATTATCAAATATCATTCCTCGAAATTAGTTTCCGTACATTTGTGCTCGTCCTTATCCTGAAACAATATTTCTAAACGTAGGCGTGGTTACATTACATCGTTTTTGGGTGTATAAAAGTAAATTGGGTATGAAACTTCACAAAAAAATTGGGTTCGTCCGTCGATGGTCACATTTTGGAGAGCCTTGGAGAAACATGAACACAGCTTTGTATTATTTGCAACATTTCCATCAGTTGATATTTCTACCATATGACAAAATAATAAAATCATACATATTCAATTGCTGTTTCCCAATGGATCTCTTCATTTCGCCTAGTAGTGCCAAGTATCATTCCTATTTGAGTAATTATTAGTATTACATTTAGGCAATAGGTATATGCTCCAATAAACAATGGAAACAACTAAACATCTCGGTTCGTTTGTTTACGGAAGTAAAGCGGCTCTTGTAAAATAAACATTCACGTTCAAGACGCAGCCTACTAATAGTAAGTAAGCCGACAGCACAAAGGGATTATAGTGCATAGAGAAATCTTGAGATAAAAATGGCTTACCTATACAGTATACATATTGAATTGTATCCTACTGAGTGAGTGACTGCTGTGTTACTAATTATACCCTAAAGAGCAGGTACAAGAGCGCGAAGGAAAAATTGGCGCGTATTTTATGTAGCACGTAACACAATTTAGTTCGATGACACGATAACGACAACCATTTTATTTCTACGAGTTCATTGTCGTTTACTGAAAAATTCGGTAGGTGTAGGCACATCCGGAAACACATTTTCACAAAGCGCTGCATTAAAACACTTGGTCGTTCAATAAAATTTATGTGTTTGCTTTATCTTTGGAACTGTTCCGCCCTTTAAATGTTGGTAGTTCAAATTTCTCACAACGTAGATGGAATTATAAATATTGGGAAATCCTAACATTAGGAATATGCATTATTCAACTATTGCAGTTTACATACGAATGATGCTTAGTAATGAAATGTTTTGATATACATACTATACACTATATATGTTTTGTGTTTCGCATTTATGAATACACCTATACATACAGGGTGATTCCTATAGTACCTGCCACCGTTTGGGAGCGTGTAGGTGGTGCGTAGGGGAGTATTTTGATATAGGACACTTGGAGTCGGAAATCTAAAATAAGGGTGCCAGAGCCAAATTTACCTTCTGGAATTTCGCGCCTGTAGGTAGGCAACCCAACCGGCCGGCGGTGCACACGGAGCGATCTCAGGCGGCGATGTGTGGCTGACACTTGATCAGAATTTTGTTTAAACCCACGAAATCCCGTCTGCAACGACGCGTATCAAGTGAATAACACTATGGCAATAGTATAATAATAGTTGGCTAGATGTAGGAAGTGCATTGAGAACAACGGTGGCCACGTTGAACACTTGTAAACGTTATTGCTTTTGACTGTCGTTTTCCCTCCTTCCCTCCCATGTCGCTTCCTCGCGCTAACCCGCTCTGCATCGCTCCGCGCGAAACGTCGGTCGGTTGGGTTGCCTACATACAGGCGTGAAATTCCAGAAGATAAATTTGGTTCTGGCGCCCTGATTTTAGATTTCCGACCCCAAGTGTCCTATATCAAAATACTCCCCTAGGCACCCCCTATACGCTCCCAAACGGTGGCAGGTACTATAGGAATCACCCTGTAGACGCGCACAGTGAGCTTTCGAAATATATAACAAAAATGATTCGCCAAATAATGATTAAGTAGTGTCTAATTTAAATGAATTAATAAATATACAAATTATTTGGCAAGCAATACGGTGGGTAGTCGACGGCAACCAGTTGTCGGCGGGAGACGGCGAAACGGTGGCGGGAAGCGGCTGAACGGACGGACGTACGGACGCTCGGAAAATCGTACCTTCCAGCATGTCTACCGAGACCTTAGCAACATCACGCGATCTGTAGACCAATTTTTTTTTGGTTTTTTATGACATCAACTTCTTCCAACAAAAATTTCATCTTAGAAATAAGTTCAATTCGGGTCCGTTCACTTAGCCCCCCATTAGCCCAAAAATGAACCATTTTTTTTATGTATTGTACCTCAATTGTGCTCAATTGTGCATTTATGCTCACTGTTTGTGCCTTTTTGGTTTTGGAGATAATCGAGAAAATCAAATGGGGGCTAAGTGAACGCTTAGCGCCCCCCCCCCAAATTAAACTTTTTGATAGTTCAATGACGGTATTGCCTAATACTTCGATTGTGCTTAATTGTGCTTTTATACTCACCGTTTGTACCTTTTTGGTTTCGGAGATAATAGGAAAAATCCAATGGGGGCTAAATGAACGCTTAGCCCCCCCCAAAATTAAACTTTTTTTTACTTTCACGGCGATTTTGCGTAGTGCTTTGATTGTGCTTAATTATGCTTTTATACTCATCGTTTGTGCCTTTTTGGTTTCGGAGATAATGTACAAATGCAATAGGGGCTAAGTGAACGCTTAGCCCCCCCAAAAATTAAACTTTTCTATACTTCCACGGCGGTTTTGCGTAGTGTTTATAACCGTTAATACGTTAAAGCAATGTAATGTTGTTAATATGAATATGGACAGGAAAGAATAAATAGTAATAT